TGGAATGCAATAGTGTCTATGATATGATATTATATAAACCTTGTACACTGTTGGAGACTTATGAGAGACACTTACCAGCCAGCCCCCCACAAGCACTCTAGGTGAATACACGGCGTGTCGTCGGTAATCCTGTGAGGTCTTCAGGTCTCCACTTGTGTCCCGGCTGATGTGACTGATGCTTCCTGAAGAAGTCGATATTCACTAGCTATCTTCTCTAAATTCACTAAGATAATTCACCACGAGATGTGATCAATGTGTTGCATAACAATGCCACTGTTCAATTTACACTGTCCCGATTCTCACTGCACAGTACACCCGCTCCCTTGAACCCTATTGTTCCCTCGGTTAACGCGGACCGCTGACCCTACACGTCTGCTCACGATCAAAGCTGACTCAAGACTCCCCAGGTGTGTGTGTGTGTGTGTGTGTGTGTGTGTGTGTGTGTGTGTGTGTGTGTGTGTGTGTGTGTGTGTGTGTGTGTAAATCACGAAAAATAAACGTGCTTAAAATGTGACAGTGTCAGACCACAGAGGAAGGATTGAAACATAAATTTCCTTAAGTACTTTTGTATATTAATACATCTTCAGAAGGAGTGACTCCTTCTGAAGATGTAGTAATATACGAAAGTACTTTAGGAAATTCCTGTTTCAATTCTTCCTCCGTGGTCTGACACTGTCACATTTTTAATCACGTGTTTATTTTTCTGAAATTTTTTAAAACAAACATTTAGAATGGCGATAGGCAATCCCCTTTCCCCAGTTTTAAGCAATTTGTATATGGAATTCTTCGAAACAAAAATCTTATCAAGGATTATCCCTGCTAATGTTGTTTGGTTTAGGTATGTTGATGATATTTTCTGCTTATGGCCGAGTGACCAAGACCAAACAGTTTTTCTTAATGAACTTAATTCTTTGGTACCTTCAATAAAATTCACTTGTGACAATGAGGAGAATGGTACTCCTCCGTTTTTGGACATTATGATTCATAGAGTAGCTAGAAAGTTCAAATTTAATGTGTATAGGAAACTTATTAACGTGGGTTCGTATGTTCATTTTTATTTGAATCATCATAGTAAAGTTAAACAGGCAGTATTTTCAGGAATGTTTCTACGAGCTTTGAGGGTATGCTGCTCTGAGTTTGAAATTGGGAAGAGTTTACAATATCCAAAGATGTTTTTGGATTGCTTGTTCGGACAAGCCAAGCGTACGTTTTATAATCACGTCCCCAAAGCGAAACCAGAAATTAGTAACTCACTGGTAGTACCTTATGCGAGTGGACTTGAAAAACTGTCTCCGGTTTTTAAGAAACTTAATATCAATATGGTGTTCACTAATAGTACGATCAAGTCCAATTTAATAAAAAACTCCCCTGGTACAGCAGGTTGTGTGCATTCGATTCCCTGCAATGATTGTGATTTTGTGTATCTTGGAAAAACAGGAAAGTCCTTACAATTGCGGTTGTCACAACATGCTTATAGTAATAGAACTGCCCAAACGTCTAGTGCATTGTATCTGCACACGAGTTTATGTGATCACACTATTAACTGGAATGGGGCGAAAAGCTTTACCAATTGTGGTGGTTTCGTGGAACGGAATGTGATTAAGTCTGCTCTAATCAGTCAGTGTCCAAATCTTCTTAATGTTAGTACTGATATGTACAAACTTGATCCATTTTTAAGTTATAATATTGCACAACAGTTTACGAAAAAACTCTGATAAGGAAGGTTACAATGTCTCATTACAATTTTATATTCATATATCGTGTTTCATGAGGTTTTTCTTTAATCTTTCATCCTTATTCTCTGACCGCTTAATGCTTTTTGACCATTCTAAGCTATACCTGTTTCTAATTGTTCACCGTCACACCGCCTCTATGGACCGTCACAGTAAAACAACAATGTAATAACAAATCTAATTGAAACTTTTAAAGTGAAATTTAGGCTCATAACATTCCCACTTTCAAAGGAATTATGTTAGAGCTCCATTTTTCTCCCGAAATTGACGACCGGAAAATCTATGAATGACTGAACTTAGCCCCATCTGGAACGTAAAGTTCCCAGGTAGCTAGGCAGATCTTTCAAGATTTTGTGAATGTGTTACAGTAAAGAAATCTAACCAATAATCACTACAGTCGGAGTCCTGAGTCCGAGACTCATGATCTTCACCCATTTAAAGCCAAAGTATTTTGTATTAACATATTCAGGTACATGTGCATTTATGCAGCTACCCTAAACTATATGAAGTGTTACATAGTGTCAAGAACTAGCCATGTGCTGCTAAAAATCCCCATTTCACAGAATATTTAGCCATATTTATTCATGTGATCAGTAGCATGCTCTGGCGAATTTTGGGTGTATTATGGGGATATCCTCAAGCACACGAGAGGTAATAAAGCTCCAGGTACCGCATACCGACAGCTCTGAAGACTCCAATGAAAGTAACAGTCAAATTAACTACCGGGCACTAGTTGCTTGTTTCCTGTTGATCATTTGGCTCAAACCTGAGTTTAGAAATAGTATGATAATGACAAGAGTGGCATTGGTAATGCTGGCATTGATGACAGTGCCGGTGATGATAGTGGCGGTGATGATGATGGCTTTGATGATAGTGGCGTTGATGATAGTGGCATTGATGACAGTGGCGGTGATGATAGTGGCGTTGATGATAGTGGCGTTGATGATAGTGGCGTTGATGATAGTGGCGTTGATGATAGTGGCGTTGATGACAGTGGCGGTGATGATAGTGGCGATGATGATAGTGGCGTTGATGATAGTGGCGTTGATGATAGTGGCGTTGATGATAGTGGCGTTGATGATAGTGGCATTGATGACAGTGGCGGTGATGATAGCGGCGTTGATGATAGCGGCGTTGATGATAGTGGCGTTGATGATAGTGGCGTTGATGATAGTGGCGTTGATGATAGTGGTGTTGATGATAGTGGCGGTGATGATAGTGGCGTTGATGATAGTGGCGTTGATGATAGTGGCGGTGATGATAGTGGCGTTGATGATAGTGGTGTTGATGATAGTGGCGTTGATGATAGTGGCGGTGATGATAGTGGCGTTGATGATAGTGGCGTTGATGATAGTGGCGGTGATGATAGTGGAGTGGCGTTGATGATAGTGGCGTTGATGATAGTGTTGATGATAGTGGCGGTGATGATAGTGGCGGTGATGATAGTGGTGTTGATGATAGTGGCGTTGATGATAGTGGCGGTGATGATAGTGGCGTTGATGATAGTGGCGTTGATGATAGTGGCGGTGATGATAGTGGCGTTGATGATAGTGGCGGTGATGACAGTGACGTTGATGATAGTGGCGTTGATGATAGTGGCGTTGATGATAGTGGCGTTGATGATAGTGGCGGTGATGATAGTGGCGTTGATGATAGTGGCGTTGATGATAGTGGCGGTTATGATAGTGGCGTTGATGATAGTGGCGTTGATGATAGTGGCGGTGATGATAGTGGCGTTGATGATAGTGGCGTTGATGATAGTGGCGTTGATGATAGTGGCGTTGATGATAGTGGCGTTGATGATAGTGGCGGTGATGATAGTGGCGTTGATGATAGTGGCATTGATGATAGTGGCGGTGATGATAGTGGCGTTGATGATAGTGGCGGTGATGATAGTGGCGTTGATGATAGTGGCGGTGATGATAAATCTGTTAACAATAACTTTGGCTAGGCAATTATAGTATAATGTGCTTTTTAATTTGAAAAAAAAATATGATTTTAGCTTTCTAGAAGATTCCGTGAGATGTGGGCCTTGTAGCGCTGTCGGGTCGCAGGCGAAATGGTCTTAGACACCTTCCGTTCTCACGGCAGAACGGAAGTCTTTGGGCACCGTTTAATTTCGCCTGATATCTCTGTTCACCTAGCAGCAAATAGCAACCCGGGAGTCAGAACACTGTTGTGTTTTGCATCCTGGGAGAGTCAGTGGTTGGCCTGTGGTGACCCATATAAGCGGAATATACGCTTCTTGTCCCCCTAGCCAAGGGGGACTTTACTAAGTTTGGGGGGGAATGGAACTTGGCTAAATTGGTATACGAAAGGAGGTTGGTTAAGTTAGCTTGGGAAAGGGCTTGGCTAAATTGGCGGAGGAAAAGAGTTTGGCCAAGTTGGCGGGGATAATCAATGAGGACTCAGGATCTATCTTGAGGTTATCTTGAGATGGTTTCGGGGCTTAGCGTCCCTGCGGCCCGGTCCTCGACCAGGCCTCCTTTTTGTTACATACCCCTAGGAAGCAGCCCGTAGCAGCTGTGTTACTCCCAGGTACCTATTTACTGCTAGGTAGCAGGAGCATCAGGGTGAAAGAAACTTTTTACCTATTTGTCTCCGCCTCCACCGGGGATCGAACCCAGAACCTCAGGACTACGAATCTGAAGCGCTGTCCACTAAGCTGTCAGGCGCCCTAGGGGATAGGGGGCAAGAAGTAGTCAACTTGGTGGAAATATAAATGATTACAATGATCTGGGTGAGAATAACCCAATCGTAGGGAGTTGAACATTACGAGAGCATTAGTTGGGCGATGTTGTAAACCAAACCCGAGGCGCGGGGCTGTAAATGACAGGTGAGTTCGAAAGGGCGTTGTAAATTACCAAGAGCGTAAATTGACGAGGTGGTTGTAAATAAGTTTGTGGTGGGGGAGGCGAGAACACGGCCAGAGAACCTCTCTGAGGTAAGTGAGGGGGAAAGTGAGAGAACAAGGTTGATAAATTGCAAAATAACAGAACCTTCTATATTGGTTTAATATTATTAGTTTGACTGTAATTCACATAAAGTAATTGGTGAGTAAGGAAGTTAAAACCGCGACTCACGTCCCGCGTGACCCCAGTTTACCCCCCTCCCCCCACTCGCCTAACGAGGGAGGATCTAAACCCCCCTCCACTCGCCCACGACCCCCACACGAACAACTTCTCCCACCTTTCCCCTCTCGCCAATAACAACTAGGACACGTACCCTCGCTCCCTGAGTAATTAATTTGCGTCCTTGTTTCTCCAGCCTGGGCTACGCGGTGCTGGTGGGCGTGGCCCTCTCGCGGGCGGGACGGCTGAGGGCGCCCTGCCTCCTGCTGCTCCTCGTCGCCGCCTCCTGCAGGACGCTACAGAGGAATCGGGACTGGGAATCCAGGGAGACGCTCTTCTTGTAAGTCTTGCTAGTGATTGGGAAGGATTTAGGATTACCCTAGAAGGGACTATGGAAGGTTAGGTGGGAAGCCCAGGCATCCCAACCTAACTTATTGAGGCTTACACGTTTCTGGGTAGGTTAAACGTTTGCATTTTTTACGGAGTGCTGGTGTCTGTATTCACCTAGTTGTGCTTGCGGAGGTTGAGCTCTGGCTCTTTGGTCCCACCTATCAACTGTCAATCAACTGGTGTACAGTTTCTTGACCCTACTGGGCTCTATCATGTTTACACTTGAAAGTGTGTATGGAGTCAGCCTCCTCCATTTGTTATCTATTCTGACGCTGAAAATATTTTTCTAATGTCTCTATGGCACATTTGGGTGCTGTAAGCATGTACGTCCATCTTGAAATACATACGTCCGCATATATCCTTGATCATCGGCCGTCTTAAACGGGTGAATATATGAACGGGTGATCTCTGGCAAGACATACTCTCTTGAAAGATGGCAAGAGCGGTGAAAGACACGCTAACTATTGTGGGATGCACGAGATCTGTAATGATCACACTAACGACCTGCTTGGCTACAACTCTGACTGTGAATGGTTGACTTGTTAACGACTGACTGTAGTTAACTAGTATTGTCTTGTTAGTAGTGACTGTCTATGGTGTGGGTACCTGATAATAAGAGAAGCTCTTGGCTAACTATACAATCAGAAACTCACCATCAGAGCTCACCATCAGAGCTCACCATCAGAGCTCACCATCAGAGCTCACCATCAGAGCTCACCATCAGAGCTCACCATCAGAGCTCACCATCAGAGCTCACCTTCAGAGCTCACCATCAGAGCTCACCATCAGAGCTCACCATCAGAGCTCACCATCAGAGCTCACCATCAGAGCTCCCCATCAGAGCTCACCATCAGAGCTCACCATCAGAGCTCACCATCAGAGCTCACCATCAGAGCTCACCTTCAGAGCTCACCATCACTGCACAGAGTCTATGTTCTCTTGAATTTAAGTTGGAGACTAAGAAATGCATTCCAAAGTCATGATTTCTCTGATCACACATTCACTATAATCTTTCTACAAACAATTCAATATATTATTTATATCCATTTTATATAATTTGATTTCGTTCTTATTTGTTATTTAAATAATTACTGTAATTTCCAATTATGTTCTCTATCTCTCTCTCTCTCACCTCTTTTCTTCTTCCCCTCTTTCCGTCCCTCTATATCTCGCCCCCATTCTCTCTCTCTCTCTCTCTCTCTCTCTCTCTCTCTCTCTCTCTCTCTCTCTCTCTCTCTCTCTCTCTCTCTCTCTCTCTCTCTCTCTCCTCTCTCTCTCTCTCTCTCTCTCTCTCTCTCTCTCTCTCTCTCTCTCTCTCTCTCTCTCTCTCTCTCTCTCTCTCTTCCCTCCTGTCTGCACAGTACTTGATTATCACCTCATAATCACAATATTCTCACCTGGTCCTCGTCTTGTCTTAAGGTTCTAACGCGTGTCTCTTTCCCTGACGGCTCAGGGCGGGCCTGAGGACGCTGCCCCACAACGCCAAGATGCACTACAACTTCGCCAACCTGCAGAAGGACCTGGGTAACGCCGACCTCGCCAAGCTCCACTACATATACGCCATCAGGTGAGTCTTCGCCTCGACTAGCTAAACATTCACTTTGACAAATGCGCTGAAATACTCAAAAGATATGTTAAAGCTGCGGCTACTGCGTGTCACAAGCAAGACTGCAGATACCGAGTCACAAGCAAGACTGGATGCAATCCTAGCATATTGACTTAGATAAAGGTACTTGTTATCCTTAGAACTTGGATGCAGTCTTAGACACAGCAACGCCTGATGTGAACCACCAATCCCATCAATAGTCTAACAGCTTCGTGCAACAGGTGGCCACATAGGATTTGCACCTCCAATTTGCGTTTTTTTTTTTTTTTTTTTTTTTGTGTGTGTGTGTGTGTGTGTGTGTGTGTGTGTGTGTGTGTGTGTGTGTGTGTGTGTGTGTGTGTGTGTTTAGTTCACTTATTAGTCACCTCATACCCATCCTGTGAGCGGCGGTAGTGGAAAAAGTTATAGACACACATAATGGGCTCAGGAACTAAACCCCCAAATTCATGTAACTATTTACATAATTAAAGTACAAATCAACATTCTCTTATAACACAACCAAACGTCCACAAAGGCCTATTTCTAAACTAATTAAAAACAATGTTTTCTCATATATAATTTAATATTATATACACGTTTCGTGTATAGTTAACCCTAGGGTACATTAGGGTAGGTGTTTACCTGCTGAACGTGGCTCTGATTTATATTATATTTACACCAACTGGAACGAGATGTGCAAGAAATAATATGAAGGAAAGTGAGTATGAGGGGGTGGGAGTTCCATCTCCCACCCCGTCACGTTTTGTGCCCTACACCACACTGCCCCTATACCACACGTGCCCCCACACAACACGTGCCCCACACAACACGTGCCCCTATACTACACTGCCCCCACACCACACTGCTCCTATACCACACGTGTCCCCCCACACAACACGTGCCCCACACAACACATGCCCCTATACTACACTGCCCCCACACCACACTGCTCCTATACCACACGTGTCCCCCTAAACCACACGTGCCCCCACACAACACGTGCCCCCACACAACACATGCCCTACACCACACTTCCCCCACACAACACGTGCCCTACACCACACTGCCCCCACACAACACGTGCTCCTCCCCCCCCCATACAACACGTGCCCTACACCACACTGCCCCCACACAATACGTGCTCCTCCCCCCCACACAACACGTGCCCTACACCACACTGCCCCCACACAACACGTGCTCCTCCCCCCCATACAACACGTGCCCTACACCACACTTCCCCCACACAATACGTGCTCCTCCCCCCCATACAACACGTGCCCTACACCACACTGCCCCCACACAATACGTGCTCCTCCCCCCCACACAACACGTGCCCTACACCACACTTCCCCCACACAACACGTGCCCTACACCACACTTCCCCCACACAACACGTGCCCTACACCACACTTCCCCCACACAACACGTGCCCTACACCACACTTCCCCCACACAACACGTGCTCCTCCCCCCTGTTACGGCCCTATTGGGTCGCAACCGGGTTCTTCTCTGATGTTATTAGAGGGGTGCGTTCCGTAACGCAAGTTAAATTAAAGGGGAAGGGATACAAATGCACTGCTTTTGTATATATATTGCTACCACCACCATAAATATATCACAGTCACACGCGGGGTTGCTATAACTACACTTATTATATACAAATTAGTCTTCCTCTGAAGACACAGGATGCTCCACGGTGCTCAAGATGAGTAGCGCTGGTTCTCTTCTTCGTGGCCCACGATGAATCCTCTGATTCTCTCGGCGAATCTACCCCGGCCACAGGCCAGCCGAATCACAGTCCCACTGGGTGCACCGTCGTGGAGGCCTTCAACCACAAATCCAGCCTGTAGCTGGCAGGTTCCGATCAGCTCCGCTGTGTAGGCCACTCCACGATCGATACTAGGGTTGCGAGCCCTAGGCAGGAGCCTCGTGTGATTCCGCAGATCACTCTCCTCTCTCCGCACCACAGTGAGTAGTCTCTTCCACCAGCCAGCCCCCAGATAAGACGATTCCTGGTACTGCCACGTCACAGGCAGGCTAACACACTCAACAGTGTTCGTCCGGGGGTGACTCACAGCTTCTGCAGCAAACACGTGGAGAGACTTTGGCTGACTTTGGCTTGTGGTATATGAGCCTTGGGTAGACTGCTCCATCGTCCAATACAGCAGTCCCAGGTCGACTCTGTAATCAGACACGTCATTAGTGCAGGGACTAGGGAACCTCACTTACAGGCTTAGACACAAAAGTCCACCTATCTACTCCATAGATGGCGTTGCTGTCTAAGCGCCACCTCACCAGAGGTCAACAGCGGCTACGTTACGAGTTGATTAAGACGGGAAACCAGCCCCTGTGGCCGGTATATCCCGTCCCCGCTAGATGGCATCGTCCATTTGGAGGGGGTTTCGGGAGCTGACTCACAGATGGCGTTGTCATCACTGCTCCGTGCTCGGACGCTGGACTCGGGCCCGTAACACCCCCACACAACACGTGCCCTACACCACACTGCCCCCACACAACACGTGCCCTACACCACACTGCCCCCACACAACACGTGTCCCCCCCACACAACACGTGCCCTACACCACACTGCCCCCACACAACACGTGCTCCCCCCCACACAATACGTGCCCTACACCACACTGCCCCCACACAACACGTGCTCCTCGCCCCCACACAACACGTGCTCCTCGCCCCCACACAACACGTGCTCCTCGCCCCCACACAACACGTGCTCCTCGCCCCCACACAACACGTGCTCCTCGCCCCCACACAACACGTGCTCCTCGCCCCCACACAACACGTGCCCTACACCACACTGCCCCCACACAACACGTGCTCCCCCCCACACAACACGTGCTCCTCGCCCCCACACAACACGTGCCCTACACCACACTGCCCCCACACAACACGTGTCCCCCCCCCACACACACAACACGTATCTCCCACACAGTTGAGAGGCGGGCCCGCAAGCACAATTAGGTGAGTACACAACACGTGCCCCCACACCACACGCAGCCCCGCTCATGTGCCAGGTACGTCCACTACGGGCTCACCATAGCCCGTGCTACTTGGAACTTTTTGCTCCGAGTTGCTGAATCTAAAACAACAAGAGCAACATACACCTGCCCCAGGCAACAACACGAGTACACTGAGCCCAGAACCTTGTTGCCCAAACACCACAACTAACAACAGTCTTCATTCTCTCGTCATGTGAAAACGACGTATGACCCTCTACACTAGCAATGATGATCCCAGTAGATCTCTGATACTACCCCAGCACTGATTCCTAATAGATAGATCCCTCATACCGCCCCGGTATTAATAGCCATCACAGGATCTCTCACATGGCCCACAGACTCATAACTACTCATTCTGCTTGCAACGTGATCCCTCGAGGCCAATGTAATCCCCTTAACATAACTGATCGGCTCTGCTAGACTGCGGATCCCGGCTCCAATCAGTTTGGTGTTGGGCTTGTGGTATGTCAGCCTCGGGAGGGTTGTTACAACACTGGCTTACTCACCAGCCAACACGTACACTTTAGTCCTGGACAATGTTCACGACTAAAGTAAACTCAGTTTATATACACACCGAGAAATAGGGTACACCTCTCAATGTACATAACATCCTGATCTAATCTGTGGCTTAATATGGCCCAAGCTGTCAGGTATGTCTGACAGCTGAGTGGACAGCGCTTCGGATTCGTAGTCCTGAGGTTCTGGGTTCGATCCCCGGTGGAGGCGTAGACAAATGGGCAAAACGTTTTTTTCACCCTGATGCTCATGTTACTTAGCAGTAAACAGGTACCTGGGAGTTAAACAGCTGCTACGGGCTGCTTCCTGGGGGTGTATAACAAAAAGGAGGCCTGGTCGAGGACCGGGCCGCGGGGACGCTAAGCCTCGAAATCATCTCAAGATAACCATCTCAAGACAATAGACCAAAAAAAATACATTCACTCGGACTGCAGACCCCAGGACCGTGGGCTCCAAGATCTGGACATATCCCCTTCTGTCTACTTCTGCAGGACTCTGTAGACCTTCCTATCTATCCAGTAAGTTTCCCCCCCCTATCCTCCTACCCCGTACCCCCCCCCCCATGTGAGACCCTCGAGCTAACTAGCCCTCTGGACCTCTTACTTTGCTGCTGTGATTCCCTTTAGGGATGTTCCCGCTTCCCTCTAATGGAGGAGTTTGTCCTCTTCGTCTCCTGTGGGCCGGACACTCGCTCCCCAACACACTTAAGTGTACATTTACACCGGGATGCACACACTCCCCCCCCCCCCCACAAACACCTCACTACATTATTTGTCGCTGGTGCAGTCTAATATAACTTATATCGTGTGGAATACGGGAGTCTATCTGTATCTCTTAGAAACCCTTTACACAACGTTTACCCGGAGTCTCTCACCTTCTCACCAGTAAGAGTGAGAAGGTGAGAGACTCCTTCTCACTTGTTCCTTCTACACCCACAGCCTGGGTCAGGTAGAGCAGTTACTTGTCAGTTCAATGACGGTCTCATTACCCCTAAACGATCCTACGTTGTTCATACTAATGTTCACAAATACAATACTAATACAACCGGCGGTGTCCGGGATAGTCCGTCTCTCCCCCCGTCCCATCCCCCTTCCCCCTGTCCCATCCCCCTTCCCCCTGTCCCATCCCCCTTCCCCCTGTCCCATCCCCCTTCCCCCTGTCCCATCCCCAGTCCTTATCCTGAACCCTTCCAAGTGCTCTATGGTCGTTATGACTTGGTGCTTTCTCCTGTTAGTTTCCTTCCCTTCTTCCCCCAACCCCCATTCCTCCCCTCTTTTTTTTTCCCTCTCCCCACGTCTTCCCTCTTCCCTTCCACTCTTCTCCTCCCTTTCCGCCGCAATCGTGACCTACCAAGTACTCCAGAGTGTACTGGGAGGACCAGAGTGGACAAGGCTACCAGAGTGAGTGTACTGGGAGGACCAGAGTGTGTGTACTGGGAGGACCAGAGTGA